GCCCACAAACTGTCCTTGTCCTTTCATATCCAGTCTACACAATGTCTATATAATTCCACTGCAGTCCACAAACTGACCTCATCCTTTCATATCCAGTCTACACAATGTCTATATAATTCCACTGCAGTCCACAAATTGACCTCATCCTTTCATATCCAGTCTACACAATGTCTGTATAATTCCACTGCAGTCCACAAACTGACCTCATCCTTTCATATCCAGTCTACACAATGTCTATATGATTCCACTGCAGTCCACATACTGTCCTCGTCCTTCCATATCCAGTCTACACAATGTCTGTTTAATTCCACTGCAGCCCACAAACTGTCCTTGTCCTTTCATATCCAGTCTACACAATGTCTATATAATTCCACTGCAGTCCACAAACTGACCTCATCCTTTCATATCCAGTCTACACAATGTCTGTTTAATTCCACTGCAGTCCACAAACTGTCCTCATCCTTTCATATGCAGTCTACACAATGTCTGTTTAATTCCACTGCAGTCCACAAACTGACCTCATCCTTTCATATCCAGTCTACACAATGTCTGTTTAATTCCACTGCAGCCCACAAACTGTCCTCGTCCTTCCATATCCAGTCTACACAATGTCTATATAATTCCACTGCAGTCCACAAACTGTCCTCGTCCGTTCATATCCAGTCTACACAATGTCTATATAATTCCACTGCAGTCCACAAACTGACCTCATCCTTTCATATCCAGTCTACACAATGTCTGTATAATTCCACTGCAGTCCACAAACTGTCCTCGTCCTTTCATATCCAGTCTACACAATGTCTGTATAATTCCACTGCAGCCCACAAACTGTCCTTGTCCTTTCATATCCAGTCTACACAATGTCTATATAACTCCACTGCAGCCCACAAACTGTCCTTGTCCTTTCATATCCAGTCTACACAATGTCTGTATAATTCCACTGCAGTCCACAAACTGTCCTCGTCCGTTCATATCCAGTCTACACAATGTCTGTATAATTCCACTGCAGTCCACAAACTGTCCTCGTCCGTTCATATCCAGTCTACACAATGTCTGTATAATTCCACTGCAGTCCACAAACTGTCCTCGTCCCTTCATATCCAGTCTACACAATGTCTGTATAATTCCACTGCAGTCCACAAACTGTCCTCGTCCGTTCATATCCAGTCTACACAATGTCTGTATAATTCCACTGCAGTCCACAAACTGTCCTCGTCCGTTCATATCCAGTCTACACAATGTCTGTATAATTCCACTGCAGTCCACAAACTGTCCTCGTCCGTTCATATCCAGTCTACACAATGTCTGTATAATTCCACTGCAGTCCACAAACTGTCCTCGTCCGTTCATATCCAGTCTACACAATGTCTGTATAATTCCACTGCAGTCCACAAACTGTCCTCGTCCCTTCATATCCAGTCTACACAATGTCTGTTTAATTCCACTGCAGCCCACAAACTGTCCTCGTCCTTCCATATCCAGTCTACACAATGTCTATATGATTCCACTGCAGTCCACAAACTGTCCTCGTCCTTCCATATCCAGTCTACACAATGTCTGTTTAATTCCACTGCAGCCCACAAACTGACCTCATCCTTTCATATCCAGTCTACACAATGTCTATATAATTCCACTGCAGCCCACAAACTGACCTCATCCTTTCATATGCAGTCTACACAATGTCTATATAATTCCACTGCAGTCCACAAACTGTCCTCGTCCTTTCATATCCAGTCTACACAATGTCTATATAATTCTACTGCACTTCAGTCAATGTCTACATCATTTGATCTCTAAACAATACAATGTTCTTATAACATCCATGTACTATACAATTTCAATATCATATATATCCATATACTTTACAATTTCAATATCATACATATCCAGAAGCCATACAATGTACATGTCATTTCATATCAAGGGGCAATTATATCCACCGCAATTCGCTAAGTTGGTCAAGCCAGAAACCTATGATTGTTGGTTCGAATCCCAGTTCGCCCCAATTATGTGAAGGTTTGTCAGCACCATACCCATGCGTGTGGGTTTCACCAAAGCGGTAAACGTCTGAGACCAGTACATTGCAACGGAAATACTGTTAAAAGTGTAGCGGCCATAAAACTTCCGAGTCCCGTGAAGGGATTCGAACCAAGGACCTTCTGATCCGAGGTTGGACGCCTTGTCCACTCGACCAAGGAGGTTAACCCCATCAGCAAGCTGACAAGGTAAGGATGTCATCTGTGGGATGACTCCACACCCTGCTACATACTCCCCATCAACAGAAGGCACGTCCCGGGCCGCATAGTTGGATACTGAGGCTTTTTTTGCTCATATTTAATATGAACCTGCTCAGCCCCAGCTTGGGCGCCAATGTAGCGGCCATAAAATTTCCGAGTCCCTGCTACAAAAGCATGGTGTTATACTCACTCACTTACATCCACATCATAAAATGTCCATGTCATTTCATATCAACATACTATCCTTGTGTTGTGGGTTTTCGAGGCCCTAAGAAGTATTTCTGATTACGTGTCTAATTACAATCCCAACCCACTAAACTTAAGTCTTAACTTTGAGAACTTTTATTTCGGTTAACATTTGGATGGTGAAATGACCATGTCTTGTTAATTTTATAGTGATAATGCCTCATCGAGCGAGATGAGTCGATCAGGCGCCATCTTGTTACTGTCACATGATTTCAAGCCCCTTCATTACAGTCAAGTTAAAAATAGATGCACAATATGATGAGTCACATGACACGACAGACAGGAAGATTACAGACAGGAGGTTTACAAACAACATTATCGGTACATATGATTGTTCTGACGCACAATCATCATCAGGTCAAATTTGATTTGGGGGCACGGGTGGCCCAGTCGACTAAGGCGCCGCGATTCGCCGTGCAAAGTTGCGTCCCTTGGGCACGCCAGAAACCTATGATTGTGGGTTCGAATCCCAGTTTGCCCCAATTATGTTTCTAGGTTTGTCAGCACCATACCGTGAGTGAAAAAGTACATTTAGAGATATGTTTTCATTACTTATTGGATATCTTACCTCGTGCAGCTTAATTTGTAACATAACTTCAGCGGCAAGTGGCGAACACTTTGATGTCTTTAGTCGGCTTTGAAGTGTCCAACTTGATTACATCATTAAGCGTGGTCATGTATTGTTTGGGGGCTCGAAAGAGGTGAGGCTTGAAAACATGTGGCATGGGGATATACAATGTCTGTATCATTTTATATACATAGACGATACAATTTCCACATAATTCCACTATGTTTCTTGCTATATCCGTATCATTTCACATCACTGCATTGGTTACGCCGTTGTCACGCGGTATTTATTTAATGTAACGATCAACTAGTGACCCACACATCATATTGCTCCGTGTTTATCTAGGGTGCTGTTACTAAAGCCTATGTCAAGGTATAGGAGTTACAATCACCTTAGCGCTAAGATCGTTTTATACAACGGCACCCAGATGTGGTGTTTGGGCCCAAAGAACTTTGAGTTAATGAGCTTTCAATGTTCAATATTTCAAATACCCCTTTGAAGTTACTCCCTATTAAATCATGGCTTATTTATATCAAAATATTTTAATGTTTAATGTGTTTTTGTGTACCTTTGGATTACATATGTGGATGAAAGCGTTCCATTCCCTCGTCCGTCTTTGAAGGGCAAGAAACACCTTTGAGAGATTGAGAAGCTGAGTATTGATAAATCAATTCCCATTCTGACAACCACAATAGCACCAATGAGAATTCCTGGAGTACCATATTGATTTCCTGATACAGGGAATTAAGTATTAATATTAGTACACTGAGTTAATCCACACACATATTTCCTATGATATAACCTAATTTTAAGAATACATAATATTTTCCATAAACTAGACAATTCAGTCTCGTCCATGGTGTTTCCGGGTTAGAAGATAGGTCTCCAGCAACCCTATGCTTGTCACAAGAGCTGACAAAATGGAACAAGTGATCATGTTCGGTGTCTTGTCGAATTGCACAACATCGTATAAAAATTGCGTGGATCGGAGTTCATAATGTCAATCACTGGACTGTCTGGTCCAATTTTGCTTATCTGCGGACTGCTCACCTGAATTATCCAGAAATTATGATGGAAAATGAACAACGTGCCACGACGTCAGCTCTCTTGACTTTACATCAGGTGAGCTAAAAACCAATTCCAAGTTCTTTTTCCAATTCCGTATTGAAATTTATTAATGTACCAATATGTTCCACAAGTGCAATCGTTCTTGATTAAATATTTGGTGTCGGAGTCAGCAATATCATTACCATGTACAGTATATCTTCCGATTTTGTCTCTACACAATAAAGAACAAATTATTCATGGATCTCTAGCTGACAGTAAGACACACCGGCAAACTCATCTCCATACCTCCATGAGACATCAATCCTTCATGACAGAGGCAAATGAGTTTCAAAGAGCAGCACAATGTCGGAGATTTAAATTAACATTGAAGGATATTCTGTGTTCTAATTTGTTTCTTAATACTTTTACTTGGGAATCAAAGGATATCTATTACATTGTGAATAAATTGTAAGTTTGTTAGTTTCTATGTTGTTTAACGCCGCACTCAGTAATATTCCAGCTATATGACGGCAGTCTGTAAATAATCGAGTCTGGACCAGACAACTGAGTGATTGACATCGTGAACATCGATTCACGCATTTGGGATCGATGACATGCATCAACCAAGTCAGCGAACCTGACCACCCGATCCCGTTACGTCACCTCTTACGACAAGCAATTGGTCGCCTTTACGGCAAGCATGGGTTGCTGAAGACCTGTTCTACCCCGGATCTTCACAAGTGATTGCGCTTCTTTACATGACATGATCGCTGCATGAGTGAATATGATCTTTGGCAGCTTTGCTTTTGAATAAGTCAACTCATCATTGATACTTAAGTTTAAAAAATGACACGTACTGGAAAGACACTTTGAACAACATTGCAATTAAATCAAAGCATATCATGCGTGAAGATGCAGGGGAATGCAGGAGGTAGGTGTTCAACAGATTAAGGGCTGAAAAACCAAGGGTCATAACTGGGACGTACTGGGATTAGAACCTGCCACAGATACAGGACAAATCTACTGTGCTCACCATACTCCACACATGGGGCATATCATTATCCATCATGCCTCAAAGTGAGATTGACCAATCAGAGAGCAGAACTACTGATCCCACATGAACCTGAATACCATCAGTTAAAATCCAAGATGGTTGATACTGACCTGATATGAGACCGTATACCGTCATTAACAGCCATCTTGGATATTCCAACACCCACCTCACATATTTCACATCGAAATGCTGCTACCGAAATTCGTTATTTGACACTGTTTTGTGTTTTACTATCATTAATTGTGATGTGCAAGGATAATAATCTGTTTTTAGATCACAGTCATGACTTTATTGACAATAGTTAAAATTTTAAACAAGGTTTGGCCTCTAAGTTTTGAAGAGAGTCTCCCATTGACATCAGTAATGGCTGTCAAATGCTTTGCTAGTAGCACCGATGAGGAAATCTCTGATAAAAGGCAAGATGTGTAATATGGATACCAGAAAGTGTAAACTTTTCAACATAATAAATTTGTTATGGTGGTCTTTAGTTGCCGTATGCGGTGTCATATTAGGTTAGCAGAAATTTATTGGGCGAGGCATCCCCAATATCTTTCTGTTAACCTAATATGCACCGTATACGGCAACTAAAGACACCATAACTAATAATATTACCCATAAAGGTACAAAGATCAAATGTAATAACTTTCTTCACATGCTTATGTCAGGTTTCTCAATGATGAGTGAGTGAGTGAGTGAGTGTTTTACGCCGCTTTTAAAAGTATTCCAGTTATATCACGGCGTGTCAGCTTAATGCTGGAGGAAAGCCCGAAGGGATGCAGGTCTAAGACGTTTACCACTTCGGTGAAACCCATGAGCACGGGTATGGTGCTGACAAACCTAGAAACATAATCGGGGCGAACTGGGAATCGAACCGACAATCATAGGTTTCTGGCGTGGCGAATCGTGGTGCCTTAGACAACTGGGCCACCCGTGGCCCCCCTATGTTGAGCAGTCAGGTGAAGCAACATGACTTCATATTATTAACTTGTCTAGAACACTTTGATATGGCTTCATCTATTGTTCATGACATCACATATTGATAATAATACATCATCTGAACAATAGCGAGACTTAAGGGACGTTTCTCTGAAGTTTTTAAATCTCATACATTTGTCTTCATTTTCTTCCTAAAAATTACAATGAGCAATATATTGAATAACCTACTCCAATGTGTATGTGTGTATGTGTGAGGGTGAGTGAGTATGGTTTTACACCGCTTTTGACAATATTCCAGCAATATCACGGTGAGGGACACCGGAAATTGGCTTCACACATAGTTTCCAAGTGGGGAATTGAACACGGGTATTCAGCTAACGAGCTAACACTTTAACCACTTCGCTACCCCACTGCCCTGAGTGTGTGTGACTGTGTGTCTGCTTGTATATGCAGATATTATAGGGCTAGCCCACTGAGATACCATCCTGAATACTCCACTCAGACACAGCATACTGACTCTGAGCCGACCAATCCTATTTTTTAGTCCCTGAATGCCGAGTGCCAGCCAGGGTAACAACAAGTACCACCTTTTAATATCTTTTGTTATGACACGGCCGGGGATCGAACCACCAACCTTCTGCTCTCCAGGCAGATGCTCTATCCACTTGTCCACGGTGGCGAGTCATGATTCCTTGGTGTGTGTTGGTTATTCTCTAAAAGTGACTTGTTTCTCTATGTTATTGTGGACATCCATCTCCTGACTCCTGCTTCGTAAACATGCAGATTTGCCAATCCTTATTCTCAAAACTACACACTTACTCAGAAAAAGCAATCAAATCCCAGTCCAGCAATAGACAGACTCCAAGCCATTAGACCAGCACACACTGAGCCAGTGCTGTAATAGCAGCACCATCAACACCAGCCACAACAACTCCAACAGGAACAACAGCAGTACAGCAGCAACAACAGCACAGCAATGGCAGCTCGGCAACAGCACCAGTCACAACAACTCCAACAGCAACAACAGCAGTACAGCAGCAACGACAGCACAGCAGTGAGTGAGTGAGTGAGTATGGTTTTACGCCGCTTTTAGCAATATTCCAGCAATGTCACGGCGGGGGACACCAGAAATGGGCTTCACACATTGTACCCATGTCGGGAATCGAACCCGGGTCTTCGGCGTGACGAGCCAACGCTTTAACCACTAGGCTACCCGACCGCCCCAACAGCACAGCAACGGCAGCTAGGCAACAGCACCAGCAACAACTCCAACAGCAACAACAGCAGTATAGCAGCACCAGCCACAACAACTTCAACAGGAACAACAGCAGTACAGCAGCAACAACAGCACAGCAACGGCAGCACCATCAGCACAAGGCACAACAACTCCAACAGTAACAACAGCAGTACTGTGAGCAGCAACAGCAGCACCAGCCACAACAACTCCAACAATAACAACAGCAGTACAGCAGCAACGACAGCACAGCAGCAGCAGCACATTCAGCACCAGCCACAACAACTCCAACAGCAGTACAGCAGCACCATCAGCACCAGCCACAACAACTTCAACAGGAACAACAGCAGTACAGCAGCAACAACAGCACAGCAACGGCAGCACCATCAGCACCAGCCACAACTCCAACAGTTACAACAGCAGTACTGTGAGCAACAACAGCAGCACCATCAGCACCAACCACAACTCCAACAGTAAGAACAGCAGTACAGCAGCAACGACAGCACAGCAACAGCAGCACAACACAACACAGCATTTTTTAAAACCCACATTAAGGAATCTCATCAGCTCAAGTATAACAGTCTTATTGGACACTTAATGTTCCGTGCCAGTCCGATACTGCTGTAGAAACCACAGTGAACCTAACCATACATTATGGATAGGAAGATGCATGACAAGAAAGCTTTAATGATGATGTATGTAAGAAAGAATGAAAGCAAAACAAAGATTCTGGTCCCATGGTATTAACTCTCTGTTGTGTCAAGGGCAGCAAGTACCTAAAATCACATAATCTGTGTGTATGTAAATTTGTGAGACGCAGGTGCTTCCGGTAGAGCAGTACATGCTTACCCTTTTCAAGAACACCTGGTGTCATCACTGATATTCAGTGATCCATACACACAGTTGTCACTGCTATTTTGCCTTGTGCGCCCAGTGGACCTGATTCAGCGTATGACTGAGATTGCGAGTCGTGGATTCTACCATTAAGGCAGGACATGCTTGCCCTTTTCGTGAACACCTGGGCCCACTTGCACAAAGCGATCTTAGCGCTAAGATGATCGTAACTCCCATACTTTAACATAGACTTACAATAGTCGTAGCGCTAAGATTGCTTTGTGCAAGTGGCCCCTGGTGTCACTGCTATTCAGTGATCCATTCACACAATTGTCACTGCCATTTTGCCCTTTGCGTCCAGTGGATCTGATTCAGCGTATGATTGAGACTGCTTGTTTTCGGCATTGACATTTCGTCCTGGCTTAACTGCAGAAAGCACTGACATGATGTTTCTACTGCTAATGCACAGCGTTGCTTCAGGCAGCCTCTACGCAAACAAAGATGAACAGTCTCATTGTTAAACAAATTTGCTTCTACAGCCTGTGGCACAAACTGATCTTTGATAGAGAGATATCTTATCTCTACCTTGTTTATATTCCAGACTAATTTGATTTTTTGGCAGTATGCCAAGAGGCAAAATAAAAACCTTTTGTCAGACTATTTTAAATTTAAGAGTCCTATAAAAAATTGAAAAATAGCTAAAGAAAGATGTTGAAAATAACAATTACCTTTTTAACTTGTTTTCCTACTTTTACATATTTTGGGAAACACTTAAAAAACATAAAACATGAAATAAATAATAAGCCCCCATCCTTTTGAAGTGATTCAAACATTTGATAAATGTTACAGAAATAAGGTCATTTTGACTTGACCATCAAAAACATTATGAAATTACGCTGGGATTTGGTGGATCTGTGGCAAATGTCTCTTGCCTGCATATGAGATCACTCATCAGACATGTCAAATATTACATAGACAAAATACATCATTATTCATGTTATATGTATGAGGTGCTCAGCCATGTCAGGGTTTTAACCCATATGAGAGTTTTACAACTCATTGTGATTCACTGAATGTTGTTCAAATCCACTCTCAGCAATATCCAAGCCATATCACCTTCCAGCTTGTAAATAATGAAGGAGGCATGGTTGATCATAATATCTTCCACACGACTATCTGATAGCCTGTCAGCGAAGTGGAGCATCTGTTGAAAAATCTAACGATTTTATTGTGTGATGAAAGAAATGGGAATTACCATCTTCGACGTAATAAGCAACTAGGGTGCTCTCAAAATTAGAAATAGGGGGCTCTTATTAGAATATTATTTTGGTGAGACAAAACAGAGTTGAAAGATAAATTTCTGGTTTATGCTGACACCCTGAAATGTTTATAAATGACAGATATGTTTTTCCAGAATTTAATTGCCCATGATTAAAGGTGCATATAACACACAAGTGCATATTATACGTGAATAAATAAGTCTTGTGTACATTGATCAATCGGAAGGGGTGCTAATTGGGATTGTTCACTAGCCAATAAATTAGCAAATAGCCATTATTAGAGCAAGGCGCTTATTATGTCGAATACAGTATGGCTATGATATAATGAAGGTGAGGTATATGAAGGACTAATCGTCAATTCCAGATCAGCACTGATTATGTTTCTAGGTTTGTCAGTACTATGCCTCCGCTCATGGGTTTCATCAAAGTGGTCAACATTTGTTTGTTTGTTTATTATTTAACGCTGTACTCAGCAATATTCCAGCTATGTGACGGAGATTTGCAAAATAATGGAGTCTACATCAGACAATCCAGTGATTGACATCATGAGCATCAAACCACGCAATTGGACTACAATGACATGCATCAACGAAGTCAGCGAGCCTGACCAAAGTGGTCACCATCTAACACGTGCATCACTTGGTGCTTTCCTCCCACATCAAGCTGACATGGCATGATATAACTGGAAACTGTTCCAAGTGTCAGTTACGGTGCTACATATTTCCTTCACTCCTGCATAATCCTTGGGAGCTGAGAATGAAAATTGAGTCCCCACTGATCCATTGACCAGGTAATAATGGAGAACTTTGAGCACACATTAGGGTGTGGAATTGGCCCAATATAAATATGCACATCATCATCATCATCATCATCATCATCATCATCATATCAGCTTATTTAGAAGTCTCGTTGCTGATTGATTGATTGAAATAAAGAATGGCATGATGGCATGACATGATATAGTCGGAATTGTACAATCGACTCTGCTTTATTCAGCCATTTCTATTGAATATGGAGAGGGTTTGGTCGCTTTATTTCTATTATTATTATTATTATTATTATTATAATTACTATTTACAGATTAAAATAAAAAATGCAGCAAAGAGGGTTTGGGTGAGGCACAGTCAGACTGGTTAGGCTCATAATCAGCTCAGGGCCCTTGCCCCCTCTACACGCAGCCCATAAAAGCAAATGGGACTTCTCCCAGGAAGCGCTGCCTAGTCAAACCCACCCAGAACTTTTCAGTGAATGTGAAGACTCCCAAACACTGCAGCCTTAAGCTTCTGCATTACCCAGATTGTCAACAGGGCTGTAGCAAACCCAGGTACTCTCCCAATGTCCTATATAAGTCAACAGATTTGGAGGTACCAAACCTAAGGCACCGAGAACAAGGGTTAGTCGGACAACTTGGTACATGGGATGCAAGCGTGACATTTCGAAAGCGAGGTCCGCATATTTGCCATGTTTTTCCTGAATCTTGTCAATCACATTAGTGTCAAAAGGGACAGAAAATTCAATAATTTATAATAAATGATTTCATTGGATTTATCAAAAAGGACAAGATCAGGTTTGTTGGCCTAAGTGGATACGTCTGAGGCTGTATACGGGCCTATTCCAAAGAATTTTGTATTTATTATTATCCATGACGCCCAAGCCAAGATGGTAATAAAAAAAAATTATTATTATAATTGTCAGGTCTTGATGTGAGGTTCCAAGTATAAGATCTAATACTAATAGAATCACTGCTACTGTTGCCTTCTGAAGACACTGACAACTCAATGCCTTCATGCTGACAATACATAAGTTGAAATCAGACACCTGACATTCAACCACCACGCAGTAACCTGGCAGAACACAAGCAAGAAGTCATACAACTTCTCATCTGTCACTACACATCACAGATTACATACAACTGATACTGACAAATGTCCACAGTCATGACATATGACGCTAACATGTTGCTGTGTGCCTGCTATACAGGGGCTATCCCCCTATCAAAGGCTATTAACTTAACTCACCCTTGACTCTCTCTATGAGACTACTCAGGCACCGCGTTTCGCTGTGCAGATTTGCATCCCTTTGGCACTCCAGAAACCTATGATTGTGGGTTCGAATCCTGATTTGCCCCGATTATGTTTCTAGGTTTGTCAGCACCATACCCGTGCTCGTGGGTTTCACCGAAGTGGTAAACGTCTGAGACCTGCATCACTTCGGGCTTTCCTCCCACAACAAGCTGACACGCTGTGATATGACTGGGATACTGTTAAAAGCAGCGTTAAACCCAACTCACTCACTCACTTTATGAGGGAAGAATGGATTGAATGACGGCCACGTATTTCGTAGCTTAAATTGGTCTGTCTAACATATTTTCATACATATTTGGAGAAATCAGAAGTTTAAAATATGTGACCAACCATGAGATACTAATGGGTGAAAATCACATTTTGACTTTTCATAATATTTTAAAACAGCACCATCAGAGCACAAAAATACAATTCACAAGCTTCAATTCATATTTATTACAGAGATACGTGACATCACACATGGCGATCGTCAATGAAGTAAGTTGATGTTAAACATCTTAATGACGTCATAGCACAATTGTATCCACCCATAAGGTTCCTTTTCTCCTGAGGGGGGCACATATTTTCCTTCAGCTGCCATGTAAAATGTGTATAAGAAATCATTCACAACATGCTGGCATCATGCTGCTGTGTGCCTGCCATGTTAAGTATTACTTGAACTCAGGTCAACTGTTTGTAGGGCTAGCCGGTACCCACCCCCATACTACCCGACCCTACCCGGGTACCCACCCCCATACTACCCGACCCTACCCGGGTACCCACCCCCATACTACCCGACCCTACCCGGGTACCCACCCCCATACTACCCGACCCTGGGTGACCGCTGTAGGTCTCGAGAGAACGGTACAAAATGTCGATTGGATTTTTTAAATATTTAGATACATGTATGAAACAATTTGATCATGCATACACTGAAGTTGACTTAAGTTATATCTTTATTCAACGATATGAAAAGTCAGAAAGAATGGGTGCATAGTCAGAAATCATTAGCGACCTGTAGTGTAGCCACTGAGCTGTTCTGTATAGAGTATTTGTCATTAAACAATATATCACGTGACTAACCACGGGTCTGGGTAGTCCTGTGGGTACCCGGGTCTTACTCAGTACCCATCAGCCCTAACTGTTTGATTGGCATTCTAGAAGTTGGTAAATAAATAAGTAAACACACAACTTTATGGACAACAACTGGTTTACTGCATAAAGCAACGTTTAGATGTAGATTCTTACACTGTGAACAAGCTAGAGTCATAGTGGTGTAAGAATCTACATCGAAAGGTTGCAAAATGCAATAAACCAGAAGATGTTTTATAAAGTGTTTTATTTACTCAGACCATTATGTTTTATCTGTTATTACATTCTTCAGCCAAAGAGTGAGTGAGTGAGTAAAAATTTAACATCAGATCAGCAATAATCATATTTAGTAACAGTCAGAGGACAGAACACAACAGGCCATCAGCCTCAAGACCCCTGAAGATCCGGGGTAGAATAGGTCTTCAGCAACCCATGCTTGCCGTAAAAAGCGACTATGCTTGTTGTAAAAGGCGACTAATGGGATCGGGTGGTCAGGCTCGCTGACTTGGTTGATGCATGTCATCGATCCCAATTGTGTGAATCGATGTTCTTGATGTCAATCACTAGATTGTCTAATCCAGACTTGATTATTTACAGACCGCCGTCATATAGGTGTAATATTGCTGAGTGCAGCGTCAAACAACAAACAAACAAACAAACATGAGCCTCGAGCTGTGACTAAATGAAGGCCACTTCTTTCAGTACCATGGGTCTGTCTGACATATTCTCATAAAAAATTAGGGGGCAATAAATATTGACACGTATTTTATTTCATCTGACATGTTTTATGTGCTAAAGAAATCAGCTGCAGCACATAACATGCTCAATTTAACATTGATATTTTACCAAATCAATCAATTGTTGCTGATTGTGTACAGAATAATCTAGAGTCCTGTTCCTTGTCCTTTATACACAGTCTTGCTAAAATAATTCCTTAAATCTTCCAAGTAAATTAAAAACCAACATATCTCACACTTATAGAGTTTGAAATTCAAATCTCCCTCTTTGCTTTCTGAGATTTTGTAAGAAAATAACAAAATGATGGCCTACATTTCATAGGGCAGATTAAGAAATACTGTATTCGACCCAATAAGCGCCCATGTCCCAATAAGCGCCCTCCCCCCCCCCACCCCCCGGTTCCGGAAATTTATATAGTAATTATTTCTTTTTAAATGAAAATCGTCCGGGAACCAAGGTTTCTGGATATTTGAAGTCTGTATAAGCGGGGCATGACTGTATTCTGTTTATTTTAGATATTTGTGACTTAAGGCTTACTGATGAATTAACGCCAATTTGACTCTGAATTGGTCCCAATAAGCGCCCACCCCTTCTGTCTTTATTTTAAGCGCCCTGGGGGCTTATTGGGTCAAATACGGTATCTGATATCACAAAGACAACTTGTAATATGTATATATACATTACAACCAGTTCCTACGGAGCGTGCCAATATGACATTTCATTCATAAAATGTTTTTAACTCACTGCACAGTGCAGAATTGGTGCAGCCAGCCGGCTGCAAGACGCCACTGCTTGAACACTCAGATGCTGATATCACGTCTCACATTACATCTGCAATTACCCTGCACATGTTGAGAACCAGTTGTGCATGTATGAGAGTACAGAACATGCAGTGAAGACGCATAATGTGATACAGGGGTGCATCCAGGATTTTAAAAAAGGGGGTTCCACTTGGCCATTTGTAACCAGAGGGGAGGAGGACCACCCAGAAGCCTACCCCCAAAATCACAAACACGACACGCAAACATTATTAATTTTGATCAACAATCAACATGTTATCACGGTAGGTAATCTGCATACAAAATATCATCAGATGTCAAAGAGGGGGTTGGCCATCCCAGAACACCCCCTCTGAATCCATCACTGTGATATGATAATATCATGTAAGCTGTGTGGGGTTTCATAATGCTCCATTGAATACCACTCAGCCCAAATGATACAAGAAGACATTGATTATAAACCACCATATTAAATATGTGCATAAATCACAAGAAGTATGGTACATACCTCGTTATGCCTATTAATCCGGTCTTTGAGTACAGCTGACATTATGATTGATTACTAAACTAAATGAATCACTCTATTCTTTAAATCCTTTCTATATGTTCCAATGATGTGATTTTTTAATGATAATCTTTATACAGACAGCTTTTCATTTGACAGTATTGTTTCATAAAATATTTTCGAAACTGTAACCCATAAACTATTTCAAACAATTCCTGAATTGATGTAAGATGCCGTGCTTGTTTTTCACTAAACACTGCATCATGAGCAACATCTGTCAGGCATGATGTCACACAATCAACCTCATCACCAGGCCTGACCACACAAGCCATTCAGTTGCATTTCAGAACAAGCACAGGTTGCTCGGAGCCTATTTTAAACACAAATGTCATTAGGGTTGTATTGTAGACAAGATTTGGTGCCATTTATGTATAAGTTCCAGCAGAACATTTACTACCAACATTTGCTCCTTTGTGCATATGGTGTCTAGGTTTGGTTCCCATCACACTGGAATTTGTTCCGGTCATACAGGAACTTTCACACACATATTTCTTACCTTGTGAAACGTCAAGTGTCTAAAAGTGGGATGCTTTATCTGTGAAAATTCCTATTTGACATTTCCGGTAACATTTTGAAAAAACCCTCAAATTCATTAAAACATTTTTTTTATATATTTAGGTTACCATGTTAAAAAAATGGTCTTATGGATCCTTCATCCCAACAGCCATAGTATTCACTGTCAATTGCCTTATTGTTAAGTTATTTGACATTAACAGTCATTTCATGGAAATCTACTGCAGCAGTACTTCCGAATTCAATTGCACTCTGTATTATCCATTCTGTCATAATAACATATTTCACATTTGCGTTTATCATTGATAAACTTTCAGGATTTGTTTCATGCTTTCCTTTTCCATCATATTCTTTTGTTTTCCTTTTCGAGTATGTTTATTTTCATTGTGATTGTATGTCTTAGTTTCCCTGTTTTTCATGTTGCACATTAACAATAAACAGGAACGTCGCTCTTAAACACACCAAAACATTTGTTCCTGATAACCGGAACTTTTCACTACAGGGTCGGAACATTTTCACTGCAGAACAAAAATATACTAACAGTATGATGTATGAAATTTAGTGGGCTTACAAAGTTTAATCAAGAAATGTTTGAATGGCTTATGAGTTGTGCTCCGCAAAATTAAGCCTTCATTTTAACACAGGTCCAGCTTATTAAAGCTTTATTATTGCAATTAAACAAAACACTTGGACAGTGGACAGCATATGTTTAGCACTTGTCTAAAGGGGTTTCACAAAGAAATAGGGGCAGTCAGGTAGCCTCAGTTGTTAAGCGTTCACTCCTCACGCCGAAGACCCAGGTTCGATTCCCAACATGGGTACAATGTGTGAAGCCCATTTCTGGTTTCCCCCGTCATGATATTGCTGGAATATTGCTAAAAGCGGCGTAAAACCATACTCACTCACACAAAAGGAAATAAAAAACAGTTTATGAGTTACACCAAAGAATCAATCCCTACATTCCTTTGGAAATGCAAAAATCTCAAAATGTTCTCGTCTGTCGGGGAATAATTAAATAAAATTTCTTGATGAATATTGCAAGAGGCAAGAGGATGATTAACAAAATAACATTTGCTGGTATTGATTTGAGGTCAAGATCCACAACATGCAACTTCAAACAAAAGTTTCAACAATATTACAAACCAAGACCTGGTTTAGACCATATTCTAAGTCAAGCAGAGTTTTCTGTTTTGTTCTTGGCAACAAGACTCTAAATTAATGGCTTGTCTAAAAGACTTCAAGGTTATCAGTGGAAAAGAAACTGTCAATCTCTTTGAGTCCAAGACATGTTCTAGACATGTGTCAAAAGTTTTAGTTTCCTTCAAGAGAAGTTAGAAATACATAAAAGACACATGCCCAACAAACAAATGTAAATTCATTGGGGGCTCTCGGTTGTTACCTCGCTGTGGGCTTTTTATTTCATAATCCCCCAAATTCATATTCAAATTCAAACATATTTTCAAATCCCTCTTCGCAGGCCGGCTACTGCCCCAGCTCACACAGCTCTTGTCAGGCCGGCTTGCCCCTACAATCAGCTGCTTCCCCACAGTTGTCCAGGCCGGCTTGCCCCTGCAACCTAAGGTTGTCCAGGCCGGCTTGCCCCTATGTAGCGGCCATAAAATTTCCGAGTCCCGTGATGGGATTCGAACCACGGACCTTCTGATAAGAGGTCGGACGCCTTGTCCACATGACCAAAGAGGTTAACCCCGTCAGCAAGCTGACAAGGTAAGGATGTCATCTGTGGGATGACTCCACGCCCTGCTACATACTCCCCCGTCAACAGAAGGCACGTCCCGGGCCGCATAGTAGGGTACTGAGGCTTATTTTGCTCAAATTTAATATGAACGTGCTCAGCCCCACGTTGGGCGCCAATGTAGCGGCCATAAAATTTCCGAGTCCCGTGATGGGATTCGAACCACGGACCTTCTGATCAGAGGTCGGACGCCTTGTCCACATGACCAAAGAGGTTAACCCCGTCAGCAAGCTGACAAGGTAAGGATGTCATCTGTGGGATGACTCCACGCCCTGCTACACCTACAATCAGCTGCTTCCCCACGGTTGTCCAGGCCGGCTTGCCCCTGCAACCTACGGTTGTCCAGGCCGGCTTGCCCCTGCAACCCAAGGTTGTCCAGGCCGGCTTGCTCCTGCAACCTACGGTTGTCTAGGCCGGCTTGCCCCTACAATCAGCTGCTTCCCCACGGTTGTCTAGGCCGGCTTGCCCCTGCAACCCACGGTTGTCTAGGCCGGCTTGCCCCTGCAACCTAAGGTTGTCCAGGCCGGCTTGCCCCTGCAACCCACGGTTGTCCAGGCCGGCTTGCTCCTGCAACCTACGGTTGTCTAGGCCGGCTTGCCCCTACAATCAGCTGCTTCCCCACGGTTGTCTAGGCCGGCTTGCCCCTGCAACCCACGGTTGTCTAGGCCGGCTTGCCCCTGCAACCTACGGTTGTCTAGGCCGGCTTGCTCCTGCAACCCACGGTTGTCTAGGCCGGCTTGCCCCTGCAACCTAAGGTTGTCCAGGCCGGCTTGCCCCTGCAACCCACGGTTGTCCAGGCCGGCTTGCTCCTGCAACCCACGGTTGTCCAGGCCGGCTTGCCCCTGCAACCTACGGTTGTCTAGGCCGGCTTGCTCCTGCAACCCACGGTTGTCTAGGCCGGCTTGCCCCTGCAACCTACGGTTGTCTAGGCCGGCTTGCCCCTGCAACCCACGGTTGTCTAGGCCGGCTTGCCCCTGCAACCAAGCTCATAAAACATTAACCATTCTTAAGCAACAACCAAGCCAGCTCCCTATTCTTGTGCCAATTATAATAAATAATTTTAGTCTACCTGTTGTTTTGTTATTTCTGCACAAACTGATGAAATGTCAAAGCTTATTTAGACACGCAACCTTGGTGAAGTAAAACTGAGACAGCTATCAATTTACACAAAAGAATAAATGTTTGACAGCCATAACAAAATATAAATGCCTCGACATAATCAGATTAAATGTCATAAATTGCTGAGGGGATACGAAAACAGTTTTGAAAATGATCCCTTACAGCATTCAATCTCCCATTCGACATATATTTTGGCACGAGAGAAATAAGTGGAAGTCTTTATTGGCGATGTGAGCAAATAGGATGGGATTACAACAGCGAAGGAAACAGACAGTCAACATCACACGGTAGACCCACAAGGGGAATCAAACCTAATAGCCTTCAGCCCTGTTTAGCAAGCACTGTGTCCTCTGACCCACCTTAGATCTTTCCATCCACTCAGTTAAAAACACTGTATTACTAAAACATTATGTCTGTCGGGGAGTAGGACTCTGTGATCCCTTGCATGTCAAAACTGTGAGACATTATCTTTGTTTGGTTGTTATTTAATGCTGCAGTTAGCTACATTCTAGCTATAAGACCGTGACCAGTAAATAAGACTGGACCAGACAATCCAGTGATCAATATTGTGAGCAATGATCCACTGGGGTATGAGGATACGCTATCAACCAAGTTACCGAGCTTGACCCCCGGATCCATTTCATTTGGTCGCCTCATACGACCAGCATAGAGAACCTATCCTTACCTGGAACCCCCACAGGATGAGAACGGTATATAGTTAAACAAGATGTATAAAAGGTTTGGTGAAGAATATTGTACATGTTGTAAGCTTCTTTAATTATTGTTTTACCTGAAAAAGACAAATGAATTTGGGTTAAGACATCTTGCCATACGTTTTCTTATTGAGCTGACATAATAGAAAATAAAAAAAAATAATAATAAATGTTTTTCAGAATAGGAAATAATAATTTGTCATGATGTACACCAGGGATTGAATTGTCCTCGTGTGCCAGGCAGCATTCATTATGAGGTTCGGGTGTGCCCTTTTGAATTTACTAAAAAAATAGTTTCAGATACAATTTTTCCCGATCCTTGCATTAACATCCTGTAAAGTTATATCATTGGGTGTGTCTTGACCGAATCACCGGTAGATTCCAAGAAAACGTGTGTACAGATGATTTCTGTTTCCGGCTTAGTTTACGAGAAAATACACAAGGTAATCTTAATCCCTGGACGTAAAACAATGCCTATGAGAACAAAAAATACAATTTAAACGGTAAATAAACATGTCTGGTGATTTTTTATCTCAAATTTCGAATTTGTACTGACCAAGTTTCTCATCACCCGTTCGTTTACCGGAAGTCGCTGAAGGGGTAGATCTACGGTGTATTTTTACTCTGCGCTTGACATTCAAATTTTTTTTTTAAATACTGAATCCGCTAGAGGGGGATGCGCATTATACATGGGTGCGCACTATACTCAAGAAAATATGGTAAGTGTGCTGTCAAGAATACCTTCATCCATCTTTGAAATCTGTGAATCTCATTTCCCCATGAGCTTGATAATAAGCAGTTGTGATCTAGAACTGCCCCCTTCCTTTTTGTTTAGATTCACAATACCATTTTCAATTTCTGAATCCCAAGGTTTATATCGTGAATCACGCTGTTCACCAGGCATGTGCATATCCTCATTAATCATGTATGTGGCCACTTTGTTTGTGTGAAGGTACATTATCCCTGGCTTTATGTACAGATCATCTTTCAAAGGTCCTCTTTCTTCAAGAAAAAGCATTCAAAATGCATGCCCTTCAAGCACCTGGAACTTATTATAACCATGCCATTGGCACTCAGAATTGTTTATTCATGGCAAACTGGGGGGCCATAGGCCCATAGTTCAATGTAGTTACAAGGTATGCATGTTTCTTCTAACTTACAATGCATGTTGTACGTACAATGTAATATTTTGGAATAATGTGATATTTGAGGTTGACCATCTTCCCGAGGCAAGAGAGTTAACTAACTTTAAAAGTCAAGTTTCCACCCTTGCCGAGCTAGGCTAGAATTCATTGGCTCGGTCGTAGCGCCACCAGTGGCTATTACCAGTTATGTCCCTTCTAACACTCTCCCATGGACCAATCAGATTCCACCTCCCGTATCACTTGCATTTGCATCAAACAAAATGGCGGCGCCAAGACAAGACGATCTGATCGATAATCAAGATCTATATTGTGATCAAACGAAAGACCTTAAATCGCGAAATGCATCAAATCACGTGAGCACCTTGATTAAAAACAAGAAAAGATTTGGAAAATATCTGTTGACAATGAGTTAGCAGTGCACATGCTTTGCAAATCCTGCAATCAACCAAAATCTGCACGACAGTTTAGGAACCGGATTTTGATTTCATTGCGCGAATGTGATTGGACAATGCATAGACTCGTTAGTCCAGCCAAAATATAACTCCATAATACCAGCCTAGTTCGGCAAGGGTGGAAACTGGACTTTTATGATAGTCATTTAACTCCCTTGCCTCGGGAAGATGGCGGCTGACATGAGTATACAAAACAAATTGACATTTGGATAAGATGTAAACTTCTTTGGAATATACTTGTTTCTTAATTGAAGATAGAGTTTATGCACAAGCACAAAATGATACTCATTGTCTACAACATTAAGGTTACAAGATGTACAGATATTGTTGGACTTTTGAAATATACCTTTATAGATCTTTAAATCATAATAAGGCATCACTCTAAGGCAAGGAATTTCTTATCTTGTACACTGAGTGAGTTCATTTTAAAACAGCTTTGAAACATTTTCCACTCACTGCGAGATAACCTATACTCAGTAGGTGAGGTGAAATGGGGTTTAACATCACGTTCAAGATTATTGCACTTAGATAGCATCAGACCGGTTTTATAGTGCTAGCCCACTGAGATACCATGCTGCAGCTTAACATGAATACCCCACTCAGACACAGTATACTGACTCCGAGTCGAACAGTCCTTCTTTTATTCATTTATGCTGAGGGCCAGGCAGGGTAACAAAAAGTACCATCTTTTAATGTCTTTTGGTATGACACGGTCGGGAATTGAAACCACGACCTTCCACTCTCTGCGTCTTTTGGTATGACACGGCCGGGAATTGAAACCACGACCTTCCACTCTCTGGGCAGATGCTCTGTGCACTGGACCATAGAGAAAGTCCTATACCAAGTATTTTCGTCAACTTGCCAGGACTTATTTAATTACCATTGGTTTATCGCCAGTCAAACGACACTGTAGAAACTCTCTGGGGTAAGTTCACAGTGACAAAAATTGTATACATTTATTATTTTTGTTAAGTCCAAGGTCACATTATATGTAAATTGCATAGACCAATGCTCATGATGTCAATCATTGGATTGACTAGTCCAGACTCAATCATTTACAGACTGCCATCATTAAAGTTGGAATATTGCTGAGCATGATGTTAAACAACAAACCAACAAAACATAACTTTGGTGGGGACAGACCGATGAATCATAGGAATCTGGGATTCGAACCAAAGGCACTCAGATCCTGGCTCACAGGGGAGACAACTCTGTCCTACATACCTCATGACTAATGTAAGGCAATTTCTGGATATTGTGACAATAATGGAATGTGGTTTTATATACCCTGTGTGTGGCAATCATGTTATCAATTGGCTATAATTTCTTCATCAATGAGTGAGTGAGTATGGTTTTATGCCGCTTTTAGCAATATTCCAACAATATCATGGCGGAGGACACCACAAATGGGCTTCACACATTATACCCATGTCGGGAATCGAACCCGGGTCTTCGGAGTGACGAGCGAACGCTTAAACCACTAGGCTACCCGACCGCCCGAATGACATATGAAACAAATGGAGATTGAGATCCCCAGTGTTTGTCTGTCGCCATACTGCCAGGTCAGCTCCAACCAACAATGTGTTTATGCTCATGCTCACGAACCTCCAAAGTCAATGTTGATATACATTTCACAATACCATTTTGCTGTAAGGAGGTGAGGTGAGGTGAAATTGGGTTTAACGTCGCGTCCAAGATTATTGCACTTATATAGCGACGTGCATGCACGTGTGTGTGTGGCTGCTTGTACTAGCCCGGACTGATGCCGATTTATAGTGCTAGCTCACTGAGATACCATGCCGCAGTTTAACATGAATACCCCACTCAGACACAGTACACTGACTCCGAGCCGACCAGTCCTTGTTTTAGCCCCTTAAATGTCGAGCGCCAGACAGGGTAACAACAAGTACCATTTTTTAACTTCTTTTGGTATGACGCGGCCGGGGTTCGAACCCCGGACCTTCCGCTCTCTGGGCGGATGCTTTACCACAAGACCACGGAGGCGGCCTGCTGTAAGGAGCTTGAATCGCAGAGACAACAGAGATCGCCAAAATGTCTGTCATATATAATAAGCTAACATTGACCTTCAATCCATGTGAGCTTAAAGCAACAAAGCTTTTAAGATAGTTGAGTCATCTAGGGACAAACTGTGTCCATTTACATTAGATCTCCTTTTGTCACACAATGCCCTCAACCTGACAGGAAATCGATGCATCTCCATCACTGGCTGATAACAGAATAATTACTGACCAGGATCTGATCCAGTAGAGATGATCAATCTGTCAAAACACATCCTCAGATCATAAGTGTGTACAGGGAGTTAGTGTATGTCTGTCTGTTGTTCAACGCCGCACTCAGCAATATTCCAGATATATGTTGGCGGTCTGTAAAACTTGAGTCTGGACCAGACAATCTAGTGATTGACAACATCAGCATCGATCTACGCAATTGGGATACGATGACATGCATCAACCAAGTCAGCAATTCTGACTTCCCGATCCCGTTAGTCACCTCTTACGACAAGCATAGTCCCCTTTCACGAACCATGGGTTGCAGAAGACCTATTCTAACCAGATCTAAGGGCCTTAGTGAGGGAGTTCGGGACTAATGATGTGACAAGATTTCAGTTACATATCTGCATGTCAGCTTGCTGTAGGACAGAAGTGGTGCAGGCCTGAAGATGTTTTCACTTTAGTTTTCCACCTGTGCCTTGGTTGGTTGGTTTGTTGTTTAACGCCGCACTCAGCAATACCACAGCTATATGACGGCGGTCTGTAAATAATCGAGTCTGGACTTGACAATCCAGTGATTAATGTCATGAGCATCGATCCACGCAATTGGGATCGATGACATGCATCAACCAAGTCAGCGAGCCTGACTACCCGATCCCGTTAGTCGCCTGTTACGACTAGCATAGTCACCTTTTACGGCAAGCATGGGTTGCTGAAGTCCTATTCTACCCCGGAATCTTCACGGGTCTGTGCCTTGGTAAGGCATAACAAGTGAACACTTTAACCAGTAAGGGACCCCACCGCCTCATGTTCATGGGTTCTCTGTGCAAGATGAATAGTTTTTATGGTTGTATTGTGCTTCACTTAGAGAGTGTAGTGTTGTTTTACAATTCAATCAGCAGCATTCCAGCTCCTGTGTACATCATGCCAGGTTTATCTAGCTCCGACTATTTACAGACCTCTGTGAGACAGCTGGAATATGGCTGACGGCAGCGTAAAGCAACAAGCGAACTGATAACATCAATCTGTTTACAGCACATGTTGCACTGTGTGTGTCTCCCATGGGATGGATGATGTGGAGTTGGATCATATTCATTAACTAT